TTCTTCTTTATTAGGAATTAACTCCTGTGGATCATAACTCATGTACCTTCTAATCAAGTTATGAAGAAGACAACATGCAGTAATTATTCGTACTCGTGTACGAATTTCAAAAAATGAAGGTGAAGCAAGTATTTTCCATCTCCCCTTAAGCAAACCAAAGCATCTTTCTATAACATTTCTTGCTTTCGAGTGTTTCATGTTAAAATACTCTTCTGCGGTTTCTGGCCGGTGATATATCAAATTCTTTTAGGTGATACCTTTGCCCTCTAAAAGGTGACAAAAATCCCCAGCATTGCAGTATCCCGCATCCACCAAGTAATAATTACCTTTAACATTGAATAATAAAATTGACTTAGATTTAAAAACAAAAATAAAAAAGCTCGCATAATATTGTCATTGTTTACCTTTAGGGACTTTAAGACCATTTAGCCTGTGGATAGCATCTCGAAGTACACAGCCATCATGTGCAGATCCCTCCCAACCAGGCAAGACATAAATGAATTGCATATTTGGACAACAAACACCTAATACATTAGTCGTAATGCTTCCCTTTCTTGTACGATATCGTCCCTTTTCTTTAGACGGGGGAGTTACTGTAATGAATGTACCATCTAAGGCACCAAGACATCCCTGTGCATAGAAAATAAGATACGAAAAAAATTTATAACATCATATGTATTGCCAAAGTGATCTTAATTTGAAACTAATAAACTTTCTGATATCAAATAAGTACCTTAAAAGGTTTCCGCCTCTCACCTTGGCAATCATCGGGAATTGGTTCAGGCTTTTTAAGAAGAATGTCATATAACTGCAAGACCGCCTTTAGGCAAAGGTGAAAGTGTCTGCTCACTGTTTCTCCACTTCGATAAAATGTAATCCCACTTTTCCTATTTTTCTCATGATGAGCTAAAGTGTACCCAAACTGAGCAACAATTTCTTCTATAGAGGCATCTTTGGTGTTCTTTAGACCCCCAACATCTCTTAGCAGTTCACATAATATACCAAATGTCCGACGATCCATACGCAGTTGACTAATACAATAAACATCACTATGTTTTGTAAGTCTTAAGAGCCAATGCTTACGCTTTTTCCCCATTTTTCTATTAGAAAGTACTTGAGGAATCTTCCGATTAAAGTAAACATGAGCAGTGGCAAGCCACATCATGAAAGCTACTATTATTACAATCAAATACATGTAGGAGATTTGAGCTATGCGTCTTCTACTTTTCAAAGGTAGCCGTGCCATCTATATTTACAAGAAAATAAAATGTAAGTCACAAGGACTGAATCACTTATACTTCCAAATAGTTAAACAAAAATCATATCTCTTATAATTTAAAAGGAAAAGAGCACTTTTCAATTGCAAACCAAATAGATTATAAGCTAATAGAAGGGTAAGAAAATACAACTTCTGAGACAATGGGAAAAAAAGGATGCAAGGGAAATTAGAAGAAAGTAGTAACTCACTGTAGGTTATCCTCTAGCATTAGTCTCCTTTAGATGCAAATAAATACACTCATGCTGGGGTACACTTGATCTCTGCAGCATATAAGATTGTATAAGCAACCAAAAAATTAGAAAAAGTCGACCAAAGATATAAGTTACTCGAACACACATCAAAACAATAACAAAACATAGCAGCAAACTTCGAACATATCTAAAAGGAGTCGATTTTACTTATGAGCAACAGCTGCAACACTCTTCGTCTATCAAGTTTTTTATTGCTACAAAATTTGGTCCAATTCAGTACAATTTTCCTTAAATATCTCAAAGGTCAAAAGCACATCACAGTAAACTAGCCGACTTGATTAAAGAAGAGAATAGGAGAGAGATGTTATGATCAAAATCTAATCTTTTTCGTTCCTATGGTCTTAAATCCAAAAAAAAAAAAAATGAAAATTCAAACCAGCAACAACTAAAAATACGAAAAACCTCCAATCAGAACCTATTTCACAAATTAAAATTGATAAACCTTAATCCATGCACAAAAATTGTAGATCTAAGAGCGGTAAAGTAGAGCAAAGATAGGAAAGACCCATAAGAATTTACCTAAAAAATATTGGGTTGGATCTTTGATGAAACTTCAGGGGTACAAAATTTGGGGCATGGCGGTAGGAAGAAATTTGGGTCATGGCGGGAGCTTACCAAAAGCCAAAGGTTTGATTTACTGAACTCTTCATTGATCTGTTATTGATGAAGGAACGATGAAGAAGAGAAAAGGAAAGAGAGAGAAGAGGGGAGTGAAGGAATAGAGGGATAAGGATGAGAAAATAACCCGATGGAGGAAAGAGAGAATAAGAAAAAAAAAATAGAAAGGATTCAGCGGCCGGGATTCAGTCGAATCCATAGGGGGAAGGGGAGATTCGATCTTTTGGAATCAGCCATTCCCGGGAATGGTGAATCCCATTAATCAAACGGTTCATTCGATTCCGAATCCAAATCCCGATTCCGATTCTCCCTAAACAAACGGCTCCTAAATCTGTCGTATAATTTCACATCTTTGGAAATACTACCCATGGTCTTTATAATCAAACCCATTATCTATATGCAATTTCACATCTCTAGAAATACTACAATTTGAGTGGTGCATTTCTTCCTTGTTTAGGTAACTTAGGCCCGATGCTTTCAATATTAAATTTGCATACAAATAATCTTCAGGGGGAATTTCGATCTAATCTTCTTGTTGGAAGCAAATTCATAAGCCTCAATCTCCGTGACAATCACCTAGAAGGAAGAGTCCCTCGATCCTTGTCCAATGGTTCTGAATTAGAAGTGTGTGATATTGGAGAAAATTACTTGAGTGACTTGTTTCCTTGGTGGTTGGGAACTCTTCCCAATCTATAGGTTCTAAGCTTCAGAGACAACCATTTGTACGGTCATATAAGAATTTCCAAAATGGGATTGTCATCATTTCCTGCATTGAGGATGCTTGATCTGGCTCCGAATGAATTCAAAGGTATCTTGCCAATAGCATTTTTCATTCAACTCAGAGGCATGAAGATATCAAATCACTCCATTACTCATAATATGTTCAGTGAATTAAATGTTAACTATGAAAGTTCCATGTTGGTAATAGAAAAGAGGGTGGAGATTGAAATTGTACATATTCTTTCCATCTTCACAACTGTAGATCTTTCCAACAAGTTTTATGGATTGATTCCAGATGTCATCAAAGATCTTATTTCACTTCAGAGGTTGAATATTTCACATAATAAGTTTGAAGGTTCAATTCTACAAACCTTCCAAAACTTAATTTATCTAGAATCCTTGGACCTGTCCTCGAACCAAATTGAAGGAAGAACCCCCAAATAACATGTGTCATTGGCGTATCTTGAAGTTCTAAATCTTTCAGAAAACTATCTCACAGGAAGAATTTCGAAAGGCAACCAATTTGATACATTTGAAAATACTTCGTACTTGAGAAATGATGGCCTTTGTGGATTTCCATTGTCAAAAATGTGTGGTCCAAATGGAAACGAGTTAGCTCCTGCCGGGAATGAAAAAGAAAAGGGGGATTTTATGAATGGGTTTACTTGGCAAGCTGTATTAATTGGATATGGAATAGGCACTTTGATTGGAATGAGTATGGGATGTCTGGCTTTTGTCACTAGGAAACCAAAATGGTTCAACACATTTGTAGAAAAGGAATGCTCAAGATTTCACAAAAAGAAATGGCGAAGGGAAGTTAAATGGTTGTCAAGATAAGGCTTTTGGCTAATCTATTAAGAATAATGATAGTACAAGAAAAAATTACAAGGAAAAATAATAAGGAGATGATCTCACCCATCCATTTTAAAAACTTTCCATACAGGGTTTAAGAATTTAAGATTAGGGTCTAGTTTTGATGTTTGACACATTATTCGTTGTAAATTTTTCTTGTCATTTTTTTCATGTACGTATCCCTACTCATTAAGCACCTATGTGTACGTGAATCGCGTTTTGTTGTATTGTTTATTTGAATTTACTTTAGCAAGTAATAATGTATTGAAAGTAAGACATTTGTTAAAAGTGTAGCAATAGTACGAAAATAAAAAGTGTTCCCTCTGGATTTTTTTATTTAAACGAAAAATATATTCTGAGTCTCATAGTTAATTTCTTTATACATTTAGTTTGTAGTTTTGGCATTGTTACCTTTAGAATTTTCTTTTGTTGAATTATATATTAATGTGTTATACTTTTTCTGTCCAAAAAAAGAAAATAGTTTACATTGTAAACCCATTTAAAGTATATTGAAATTTAGTAGAATTTACACCATCCGTCCCACAAAAATAGTCCAGTTTCACAAAAGTCAAAATTAATTGAATTGAAATGACTTAAATATCCAAAAGAGTAGTGGTAAGGAAAACAAGGTCCAATTCCTTTGATTTTCATTTTTTTTAGTTTTCTCCCATTTTGTCAAATGATTATATCTTCTTCTTTTTTTAAAAAAAAGAACCAATTTTATTAATAATAATAAAAAAGGGCAGCAAATATACTAAACTCTATATCAAATACAAATTTGATCTTAAAGTTAATCCTTGTTCAATCTAGCAGACCGGTGAACTTGGACTTTCTTTTTAGCCTTAGCTTTCTTCGATCGATTGTGGTATGTTGGAGCAGAAACCTCACTGTAAAAAGACTCTTGTTCCATTGCATATTCCACATTGAAATCACTATCAGAACCATTTGAGGCATGATTTAGTCCGCATTCAGATTGTATGTCTTCAATCAAATAGTTTGGGTTAAAAATCTCAGTATTCTTCCATATTTCTGTATCATATTTTGACAAGTATGATTTTGGGACCGTAAGTGGTAGTAAAACCTGTAGCATGGGCTGAGGAGAGACCGTAAATTCTGGAGCTTCAGGATTTAACCTTTGAATGGAGTTGTTACTGGAGTTGGACTTGTTATTTTCGAAAAAGATACTTTCAGAACTTGAGTGAGAAATTTGCATTGAGGGAGAGTTTGACTTCGTTTTTTCCTCATTCGAAATTGGAACGTGCTGATTTGTTGCGATCATATTATGTGTCAAAATTTTCTGATTTGAAGGGGGTCAAACTTTTATCCGCTGATGGCGCAGTAGCTGTAGAGTCCACTTGCATCTTATCCTCTTTGGAAACCAAGGGCGCCTGGTCAACTGCATCGTTCACAGGATTTTGTTGCGCAGAAGGTGGGTGTACAATCAGGGAGTTATCCACCGGCGTTCCACTCTGGATTTCCACGTCCGGCGATGTTGTTGTGCCACTTTTGCTAGCAGCGGCCGTCGATGCTGAAGAAAGATGGTGATTCTCAACAGCAATTGGAGAATCTGGTTGATTGCAGAGCGTGTCTTCGAGTTCTATTCCAACAGCAGCTTCACCAGGCGGGGCATCTTCAAGAAGTGGAGGGCTGTCTGGTATATCAACTGGGATGGCAATCTTCTCTGCTATCGTTAATCCTGAGATTGACCCTTCAAGGGTTTTTGCAGGCCACAGATTTGTTTCTAGCAGACAAGATAAGGGTTCGTCCAAGGCTGTAGCAATAGGCGTGATTGCTGCTTCGGGTCACAACAACGCATCAATAGATGTAGCCACTTCAACATCGGCAGTGATGACATGCCCAGATTGCAACACCGTTCGGTCTACAGTAGTAGATGGCTCTTCATCAATAGCGGTTGGTTTCAGCTGCAAATCCATCGCAGACTTGGCTTGCTGCGATGCTTTTTGCATAAAGGAAGGCTGTGCTAATAATTCTTTTTCTTGATTTGGCATTGATGCAACTATTAGGGTTGAAACTGGCTGTTTAACTAGATCCGGTTGCGCTGAAAGATGCTTTGTGAGATGGCGAGAGTCCAGTTTTTGGAAGGCCACTGTGGTTGTGTTGTGTTGACAAGAAAGACGGTCATGTCCAATCTTCCTACAGCTACACAATATTGAGGCATGTTTTCATAAAAAATTGATTGGAAATAGGAATTCCCTTCAACTCCAAGCCGAATTCGAATGGGATGTTCCTTGAGAAGATCTATCTCTACACAAATGCGTGCCACTGATGGTCGTGACATATTGAGGTTTGGGACGTCTATTTGAAGTGGTGTCCCGATGATGCTAGCTAGTTTCCACAAGTAATCCTTGTTAAAATGATGAATGGGAAGACCTTCTAAGGAAATCCAAACCGGAACAATAGAGCTTTCATGAGATGGATTAAAGTCGGTAGTCCATTTGAGGACTCTCATCCGATGCGCATCAAAGGTCCATAAACCTTTCAGCCAACAACGGTGAAAATCTTCTTCCAAGTCAAAGCAAATGAGAATATGCCGGAAATCAATCGAACCAATGGAAAAGCTCCCTTTGAAGCCAATAGTTTGGAATTCTCTTCGTAGATATTCCATTTTTAGTCGGGCTTTGGTAAATTTACCAACTAGAGCAAGTCGGAATGGGGCAGCCAATCGTTCATCTTCTTCTTTTGTAAGAAGAAAAGTTGGCTCTCCTTTGAAAAGTGTCGGTTCTGAGAGTATTACAGGAGGGCTTAGCTCTTGGGATTTTGTTGAGTGAATTGTTTTTAGATTTGAAGTAGATCCTAAAATCTGAGCAAAGGAGGGTCGTTTAGGAGGTTCAAGGCCTATGGCCGTCGCCGGCCATGGGAGAAAGTTTAGATTGGTTTCAGCGAGAGAGAGAGAGAGAGATCATTCTATGTGCATATGTTATTTTTTTTCCATTAACTAATACATGAATAATCTATGTAACGAGATCTTTCCATCAAAATCCATTGTCAATAATTTTTTGAGATAAAAATTTTGATCAAATTTAAATTGTAAAATAAATGCATATATAGTTAACTTTTATAGAAATAACTAGAAGGGGCATTAGTGAAAGTTAGGGGCATAAAATGAGTTGTACATTTGGTCTGTTGACCAAATTAAAAAAGTTATATATTTTCAAACTGGACTATTTTTCTGGGATGGAGGGAATACAATTTTCATTGTAAGTTATTTTGTAAGACATAAAGAGTAGCATGTACGCTTCAATTTGTTGTTATTAGTAAATTAACTTGTGATAATCTCACCAACACCAAGGTATCCTATGTGTCCAGTTTCACCCCACGAAGAAATAATTTATTTATATTTACTTGATAAATAAATCTTAATTTCAATAGAAGCTGGATTACTTATTGAAACTTCTTTCTTACCGTTACTGTTTTTGTGAGTTTGACATTGTTTAGGAAAAATGTTCTAGCCAGGCGAACTTTTGCATTCCTTCATACATGCCAAATGTTCAAAAAAGCTTAAATAGTGAGTTAAACGTGAGAATCTATTGTACTTAATTAAAGCAACATACAAGAAGCATACGTGTCAGCTCTACGTTGGAAATTTTCCCGCCAAAAGTCTTTCTTAGTACAAAATCATTTTTGACACGTGACACTGTAAATTTTCAGAAAAAATGGGTTGGTTGTATGCTCCTCAATTATAGCTCCTTTTCCTGATTGAATATGCATCAAAATTAGCTAATTTCTTTCATTCAAATCCCACAAATCACTCCATTTATTTAATGCAAAACCCATCTCCATCATATGTCAATTTCAAATATAAAAGATGAGTTCTAAGGGAATTCGTGTTTGTTTGTCCAATAACTCATTTTCCATTTTCACTAATTTTACCTCTTAAACACAAAACCTAATGAAAAAAAATCATCCGAACAACTTTTTAATTTACCTTTTAAAATGTTGTGTTTGGTCATTATACTATTGTAATGTCTTCGTTTTGGTCACTGAACTATTGTAAACTCTTAATTGCGTTTGGTTACTAAACTATTGTAAAGTGTTGCGTTTGGTCACTGAACTATTGTAAAATCTTGTGTTTGGTCGTTATACTATTGTAAAATCTTCTTTTTGGTCGCCGAACTATTTTAATTTCATAAATGGTCACTATACTATAACACTTTCTAAATAAAAAACTAAACTATCTTTTAAATCTCCTCTCAAATCCAAATCAAAAACTAAAACAAAACGTTGTCCAAACAAGCACTTCAATTTTTCTCTTCCCAGGTACGATTCCCCCAAAGTAGCAGTTCCATTGTATATTTTTTTAGGAAGCATTTCTTTTCTTCGTCTACGATTTGAAGTTCATCCCCATCACCACTCCGATTCATATGCCGCCGACGATCGAATTTTCTTCAATTCTACATGAAATTCAACGCATGAAGATAATGGTTGAAAAGAGGAAGCGTTGGACCTCCATTTATTGTGGTTTTTTATTTGTTCTGTTTGATCGGAAATCTGTAGCGGCTGAAACCGAACCCTAATCTTTCAATCCTTTCTTCCGTGGCGGCCCAACATAATCAAGGGAAAACACCCATAATCAGAACATCTACCAATCTGAAAATAACAAAGTTGCAAAGTTAGTTTTTTTTCCATATATTCTTTATTGATTAAGACCAGAGAAAATTGTATTCGTATCAATATGTGACTTTTGTTCCTTTTTTCTTCATGGTACAAGCTGAGAACCAAAAGTGGAGAAATAGGTTTTTTTTTTTTTTTTTTCTCTTCTTTTGTTTAGATAACTAAAACTAAATTTGGGTAAAATCAAGAATTTCTAGGTAAAGGCTAATGAGTTCTTTTTTTGTTTAATTTTTTCTATGTTTGGTATTATTGGTTGCAGTTTCATGATGGGGACTACGAGTATTTGGGAAATATTGGCTCAATTTAGTCATTCTCTGGATTGCTTTCGTATTAGTTCTTGTGATGGTCGAATTAAGGTAGCCCATCTCCTCTTTTGTTGTTTTTCTTTTGTAAATGACTGTCATGGATGCTTTGTCCTACGTGTTTCTTTTAGCTCCCTTTTGTATTAGTGTATGATTCATAGTTTGGTACATGATTGTTTCCCATTTGACATCATTCAGGGAAGAGTGCATGATATTTTATTTATGAATTGGATGGCTCACCTGTGTATGTATTGTAGTGTAGCTTATAGTTGCTTTTTGAGTGTTAATTATTCAAGTAGCGGAATTTGTGTGGTATACTGTTGTTTGCATGTTAAAAATTAAATGAGTTTTTTTGTTTATGCTTGATATTAGACACACGACAGCTGCAGGCTCAGTTTTCAGGTATTGTTTCCACAAGCAATGAATGGGTTATTTGGTAAATCTGAAAGAGGACATCGTTCTGTGCTTTATTAATGTATGACATGATTTTCGGTGGAGAAAAAAAAAAGGCGATTTTTCTTTCATACAGATAATGTTTCCGAAAGTTTTTGGTGATGTTTATAGAGGTAACTAATGAATTGTTGCACTTTTACGGGTTTGTGTGATTAAATCAATGGAGATGAAAAATTAATTTCCCCATTCTTCTTTCCTTTCGTGTGTGGATTCGCAAAATTTATGTTTCATAATGATAGATAACTTGATACATTTGTGCATTCAATTGTGAAGATGTATAATTGTGAAGAAATTCGAGAAGTAGAATGAACTGCTTCATGTTGCAGACCAAGAAATTGAACTCTGCATATTTTTTGTTTCTGGTTTGGTGCCACACACCGTAAACTAATGTTGGCCTTCAAGCATACAAGTTATTGTACACAAAAATTGAGCATTTGAAAATACTTGAACCTCGAAAAACCTCTTGGTTGATTAGAGGATTATGCCAACTTTTTTCTCCTTGATCATTCTATGTTTGAACAATATGCACTGGGGAAAAGACTAACAAGCATACAAGTGCTGCCTTTAATTTCGAGGCTGCACAGGTTCAATTTGACTTCCGTGATATCTGAAAGATGCATTCGATTGATCTTTTACTTAAATTTCTGATATGGTGTTCTGTTATCTTTTTTAAGGGTGGGGTTGGGATCTGATATCTCGCCCCGAGATATCTACATGCTTTTTGTAGCATAGAAAGAGTTGGCGGCCTTTGTATACCTTATGAGATCTAAACAGGTTTTGCTCGAACCGAAAGCCATTTCTGGATTTTGAGGTTCATGGTGTTGTACCTGATATTGTTTTTTAATCAGGATCTTTATGACAGCTTTTTTAATCACTACATTTATGTAGTAGGATAAGTTAATAATTTTCATTTTTCATTTCGTTTTCAAGTTTTAGGTTTGAAAATTCCAACTGACAAACAATTATATGGCTTAGTTAAATGCTTTTTTGAACCGATTTAAATTATAGGCGCTCCTGGACACTCGCCCGGGAGAAGCATCTAGTTTTAGGTGGTAAGAGCTTCAATATATAGTCAAGTTTTGTTTTGAGCTTGTGTATGGAGCAAACAGTTGGCAGGCAGTTTCTCTCAAAATGAGTTCACCTTTCACCTAGATCAAAAGTAAAATTAAATACTCTCTCTGTCCCAAAATTATTGTCCAGTTTGAGATTTCACTTTTAGTATAATTTGAATTAGAAATGAAAAACTAAACTGGACAATAATTAGGGGACGGAGGGAGTATATAAGTACACATAGTTTCGATTTTCGTTGTTGATGGACCCCTTTTGCATTTCAGTTACCCATTAAATCCACATAGATGCATGTCAGTATAAAAATTTTAATTAATCCAAGGAATTACATTTCGAAAGAAGCGATGTAAAATGACTGAATGTGATTTGCGCAATTATATAATTGTTTGAAATTCGCTGGTGAAGATTTTGATAGTAAATATTTTCATGCCTCGGTCAGTATTTTATTATTGTCACATCCTAATTTTTTTTTTCTTGGAATTTTGAATTTTTAGACAACAAATGAAATTTTTTTTTTCGGTACAATAAAAATACAGACTTAAATTAAAACATTTCGTGGATAGGCGACTCTAATCAAGTCGTGTTCTAACAACTGTATTATTCATAACGGTGGATTGTTGAGCCACGGCAAGTCCCCTTGACAAGTAGGGGCTAAGGATGCCAAAAATCCCCAAGTAACAAATGAAATTTCTGATTTCCATTAGGTCCCCAATAAGTTAATTCCAGAAACTAATAAACCAGGTCATGAAAAAGGATCAACTAGAACTTGCTCATAGAGAGTCTATAAACAGATCACTAAAACCAAATGACGAAACGGATAACTTATAATTCTAAAAAAAAACGCGTTCCAAAACGAATCTGCGGTAACAAAACTCCACTTGCGCGCGTTGGTGTGCTTCAGCACTCCAATAACTTAGCCTTGTCCGGAGGAACTCCAAGAACTTGGATGGTGTCCGAAGGAGGGATTGGCGGCCGGTGAATCTATAGACCGCGGCGGTGGTGTTGGGGTGGATGTATCGGCAGCGAGGGCGATGGTGATGCTGGTGGCGGAGCTATCAATCGTTGGTGGATGTGGTGGCCAGTTGACACGCTTAAGCACCAGCACCAGCACCAGCCGAAGGAATGTAACCAAGGCCATAAGACCACACGCAAATAAACATGAGTCTAGCTCCATTGGGGATAATGGGTCATAGCGGCCAACGATTTGGCTCTGGCTTTGGCTTTGGCTCTGGCTTTGATTTTTGCCTCCATAACATGATTTTTCAGTTGCGAATGAGGAGTAGGTTCAGTGGTAACACCACCCTTGTTCTCAAGAGAAGGTCATGAGTTCAAATCCCCACTCGAACAAAAGTGAGGGAATGATTTTAACCTTGTCAATTGGCACCTCTAGAGGGCTTGTTATGGCAAACTCACTCATGAACTCTCAATTTCGGAGCTTGTCACCCCAAGCTTGCGTAATGTGATTTACCTCCCACTCATGAGTTCATCCTCCTTACGGCCGTCGATTCCCACTGTTTGTTCGGCTGATCCTGAAGTAATAGCCTTATTTCTTCCATAAGAATTCCCAATTAGGGCACCGACTATATTCCCTATGGCCGAGAGTATTAGGGTTACGATGAAGAAAAGAGGGGTTTATTTATGCTAAGTCTATTTTCTTTCGTTTTGAAAGGTCGCGTGATTAAGAGTTAACCTTTACAATTTACAATTATACGTTCTCCATTTTTAAATATATGGCCTTTTAAAGTTTTCTAGGTTTACCATGAATTTTTATTGGTTTGTGATGAGTTGTAAACACAACAAAATAAGGGCGTTTTGATATTTAACTATATTAATTAATGTTTTTTTTGTTTTGATGAATTTTTTAGAAAGACATACAGTATAGAAAAGAATGGAGGAGCATTAGTTTGCTGACTGTAGATGTAATACTGAATCTAAAAATAGAGAAAATGCGTAAATTAACATAGTGCGTTAAGACACTCTAACCTTAAATGATAGCGTACGAATTTGAATCCCACAGGCCACCGACTGTCAAAACTAATAGCCTCTTTTTCTTCCACTAAAAGGGAAGAGAACAAATTTATATACCAAAAAATAAAAATAAAATCTCGAAACACAACAAATTAAACAAATTAAATTAAAAAACAAAATGCACTTTGAATTGACAAATCATTTACAGGGAGACGAACTAAGTGACAAATACAAAGGATCTTTGGTGATTTTCTGATAGTATATAGATATATACATGAGCCAGTTTGATAAGCAGTCTGAAGAACAAGGAAAAAACTTGAAGAGGGAAAAAAAAATATAAAAAAAAAACACGACGCATTTATTTCTGATTTGATGGCTTTTCCAGATTTGAGATGGGGTAATAATTCTTCACCTAAAGCTTATACATTCACTTTGATGCATCTCCAATCCTGAAGGGGAGCAGAAAATTTTGAGTACACATATTCTTAAAAACTAAAAAATTTATTATCATGTTCATTGTTCAAAATATAGTTTGTCTGATTTTGAGACGGAAATAGAAATTATTGAAGGTGAATTTTTAGAATCAAGCCAGGAGCTCATTTTTAAATTGCGAGTAACAAATATATAGCTTTAACGATATATTTCCAATTAATTAATTTGCAGAAATGTATATGGCGATAATTAATAGTTTAATTCAATAGATGCAATGGTTACATTTTTTTTTTCTTTTCTTCTTGCTGTGGAAGAAATAAACAGTTGCATTTTTTTTTATTATTTAAGATACCTTAATAAATGAAAATAACTCCTCACCAACCACACTAAGATTCTGCACTGAGTAAATGTAATTGTCCAAAATCTGATACCAAATCATAATATAGAAAGCTAATAAGTTTCTGAGATTCCTATATGTAAATGCACATAATACACAATTATTAAAAAAAATACACCGAATTCAGTCATCAATAATAATAATAATATGAATTGAACTTACCATTTAATCTCATTAATCAATTTGTAAAAAAATCTTGCAAAAATATACACAATTCATGCACCATTATTTCATACAAGACTGAATACAAATTAACGGTCGTATAAATAGAGGCTATTGAAGTTGTAATTCAAAAAAAAAAACAATAAAAAATAGAAAGAACATTGTGATTGAATTATTATTCAGGTGAGAACAGAAAAATACTATGTGGAAGCTGAAAATGTCGGAAAGAGATGGTGAGGATGATCCAGTGTGGCTTCCAAGTTCAAACAACCATATTGGTAGGAATTATTGGAAGTTTGAACCAAATTCTGGAACACCTCAGCAGAAAGAACTTGTTGAGAGGGCTCAAGAGGAGTTTCGTCTGAATAGATTTCAGAAAAAGCATAGCTCTGACCTTATTATGAGGATTCAGGTGAACTTTTTCTTCTTTTTAAACTTCTTTTTTTTATATATTTGTTTTTTAAAAAAGGGAAGATTTTGGAATATTTCATGTATATAATCTATATAAATATATTCCATTTTATAACTTTTATTATCCGTTTTGACTGTATTGATATTAAGTAATAATCTTGTAGAGAATTAGAAGACAGAACGTCCTCTCATGTTTATTTTTATAACGACTATTTCTGTTTGCTGTTTTATCTTTTTACCAATAAACATTTTTCTTTTAGATGGGGCATTGATCCCTAATGCCTGTAGGTTTATTATATTCAGAAAACAAAGAAGAAAAACTTGAGATATTATATATCTTCTTCATGATGTCCAAAAAGAAAACTTGCTTTTTTTTATAATAAGATTAGGTTTAAGGGCAATTGATAAATAAAGAGCAAAATCTTTTTAAATGCCAATAATACCCTTCTAATAAATTTTAACACATCTATTGTAATTAATTTCTTTTATTTTCTTCCTTCTTTTATGGTTTAAACAAAATTCTTCGTCTATCTTTTTCATCCCTGAGTGTATGGAATATTACATTTCTTTTATTGGTGTTCTAATTTCCAATTTCCGATCGTCACTTACCGGCATCAATTTATACAGTGGTAATTAATGTCTCTTCTTCCGCTTCCTCCTCGGTAAATTGTTGTTCAATTGGTCGTTGCTGTTAGCTCCCTAGGATAGAAAGACGCTCTTTTCCTCTTGATTGTAGCTCCTCTATCCATCCAGCCAGATCTGATGTTGCTCTTCTTGATTAATGGGCCAGTTCCCAAGCATGCACGTTATCGATGCTCTAGCTAGAAAGTGTACCATAAGGAATCTTCAATCTGCTAACATTTGGAAATTAATGTGTAACTAAATTCCTAATAAGAAACCTATCAAAACATGGTATTTGAAAATTTTCGCGGTTAAAATAAACAGCCACTACTTAAGGCCAACAAAATCTCTACATCGCAATTATTCGGTATTGGAAATTTTAATTCAAAATTACAAGAAATGAGAAGAAAAAAATTATGCAAGTTTTTTTTAGAAAATTTGGAGAAGGAAAAAAAGTTATGCAAGTAAGTTTTTTTTTTTTTTAGAGAAAAAAAAAAGAATTTACACAATTTTTTTTTCTTATTTGGAATAGGATGGCTTTTACAGGATCCATAAAAAAGGGGGAGAAAATAAAGAAAATTAATTACAATAAATGTTAAAATTTTATATAAAGGTATTATCGGTAATTATAAAGATTTTGTTCTTTATATAATAAAATAACTCTGTATTTACCAATTGTCCTAATATAATACTAAAATATCAGATATGTCGCACTTAAATTTTTATTTAGTACACAATCAATGCATACTGATATTCAATTATGGATCTCTCTACTTATTGTTTTACTTTATTCAGTAAATCAATATATATATGCACCTAGTGATCTCCTCATTGATCGTCTTAAAGCTCACTTAGCGATATGCCTAATATACATTGCAGTTTGCGGGGGAGAATCCACGCAATACGGATATTTTACCAGCTGTAAAAGTCGATGGTGAAGAAAAAGTTACATCGGACGCAGTGAGAACAACCTTGAGAAGGGCAATAGGATTTTATTCAACTCTTCAGGCAGAGGATGGACATTGGCCTAGTGATTACGGTGGCCCTCTATTTCTCTTGCCTGGCCTGGTAACAATTAATCTCTATTACATTCTCATAAATTAATTGTTACTTTATGAACAAGGTAGTACAAAAATTTAAATTATTTCAAGTGTTATATAAAAGTTTCTAAGTGTACATTTTTCGGATCTTAATTTGAGTTTTTTTTTTTTGACTTTATGAAAAAATATAAGTGACAAAGTTATCTTTCTCTATTTAGTACTCACTCCGGTCCTTAATATAAGACATTTTGATTTTGCCCTAGGTTTAATCTAATACTCATTTTTAGTTGACAAAAAAACCTTAAAAATATTTGATAACAATCACGAGAATATAACGAATGTGAAAATTTACTTTTAAGGTTTTTTCGTCAATTAAAAATATGTACTAATAGTATATCTCTAAATTAACAAAAGAAAAATATCTTGAGTATGTTTTTAAAAGGAAATGCTGTTGAATTATTTATTAATCCGTTGTGAAGTAATCAGGTGTCATTGTTTTCTTTTGCACCGGTCATTACATTTTCTCCTTTTTTTTTTTTTTTTGGTTAGGGAAAAAAAAACCCAATTTTGAATAATTCAAATGATATTCATTGACATGCAGGTCATAAGCTTATTCGTCATGGGTGTCAGTGATGAAGCGCTATCAGAGGAGCACAAAATAGAAATCCGACGTTACTTCTATAATCATCAAGTTAGTTTACTTCTTTTAACACACACACACACACACAACATTTTGATCTTATTTAGTTTGATCATTAGTGCCTCTTACTCTATATATCTGTTCTGAACTATGGAAAAATGATTTTTTTTTTTTTTTTTAATTTTTTTTGGTTGGAGCTGTAGAATGAGGATGGAGGATGGGGTTTGCATATAGAAGGTCACAGCGTCATGTTCTGCACTGTCCTCACTTACGTTTCTCTAAGACTGCTGGGAGAATCGCCGGAAGGCGGAAATGGAGCAATGAGGAATGCGAGGAGTTGGATTCTTGATCATGGAGGAGCTACATTCATTCCTTCATGGGGAAAGTTCTGGCTTTCGGTATGAATTTCTTACATATATAAATAGCGCGGACTTATTTTGTTCGAAAATGTTGTTGAAAAACTAACTGCATTGTAAATTGTAGTATTATATAAACCTTATCTTGATTTAATTTCTTGTAAGTAATTTTGAGGTTGTCATGATTTTTGTAAAGCTGTTGATTTTGTAATGATTGATTAGGTACTTGGAGTTTATGAATGGGATGGCAATAATCCTCTGCTCCCCGAGTTATGGCTTCTTCCTTACATTCTTCCAATTCATCCAGGTACTTATCTCGTTTTGGCAATGGCTACTCAAATTGTTCTAAGTCTTCAGCTGCATGCACATTCACATCCATTCATTCATTTATGGAAACTTCAGCTGTTATTGGCTTCGCCATATTTACAGTCGAATTTAGAGGTTGCGCGCTTTCAGTAATATGTGGTTGCGACAATGAAGCAAATTCGGAATCTGATACCACATGCAGTTATGTCCAATAGGAGATTAACAACTACCCCTTTTTACTGCATTTTGTGGAATTCTCAATCAATTCCCTTTTCATATTGTGCCTGGTGCATTTGATGGTAGCTTCTGAACTTCTTAAGCTATGTTTTAAAAAGTAAATGTTTTTGTGTTGCTGCTGTGTCGAAAAACTAGATTGAGAAAGTTTTCGATATTTTGGTATACAGGACTAGCCAAGTACTGCTGCTAGTATACTATATAAATGAATTGGTGTAGATGAGGCAGAAATGTCATGGTTAACACAATGCTTGATAACGTCTTTGTTCATCATATATACACAGGTCGTATGTGGTGCCACTGCAGAATGGTATATTTACCAATGTCGTACTTATACGCGAAGAGACACGTGGCACCAATGAATGAAACTATTGAATCATTGAGGAAAGAGCTGTACGCAAAACCTTACAGCGAAATAGATTGGAGCTCTGCAAGAAACCAATGTGCAAAGGTTTGATGTCATTTACCATTGTGTGTTGTATAGCTATGGAGTTAATTCTATCAGTTTGTAAATTATTCTCAATCAGCTTGCTACCCATTCGTACATTCTAGATTTGAAGTTAAGCGAAATATTCTACTGTCACACATATTGATGATTATATGTGTTATTGCGGCAATGTCTTCTGCCGACCACCTTGTAGGAAGATCTCTACTTTCCTCATACCAAAGTACAAGACATCCTTTGGAATAGCTTACATAATGTTGTGGAGCCTCTTCTGAATAAGTGGCCTTTCTCAAAATTGAGGAATAGAGCTCTGAAGTTGGTCATGGAGCACATTCATCATGAAGATGAAAGTACTCATTATATGTGTCTTGGACCTCTAAACAAGGTAGCTCTTTCTAGCTCAGTGATTTACTCTGAATTTTTTTTTTAGTATGTTAAGAGCTTGTGAAAGCATGCAATTTAATCTGAGTGCAATCTTGCTGTTTCATTTTTGGGAGCTAGTTGATTGGATTATATTATATATACTTAAAATGATCCGAGGCGCGCGCACCCTAAACTTTAGGCATAGTAAATGTGTTTTATGGACTGTAACTGACTTGAAAAAATGGTTTTGGTTAGGTTCTTAACATGATTTGCTCTTGGGTGGAGAATCCCAATTCAAAGGCAACCAAATGTCACATTGCAAGGATAAAGGACTACTTGTGGGTAGCAGAAGATGGCCTGAAAATGAAGGTTGGGATATGATATTTCTTTTTTCTTTCTGAATATTTAACTCTTTCAACAATTACATTTACAGTGAATAATTCACGGCATTTAGTGCTTTATAGTTATCTTTTCTGACCTACGGTTTTCAAGTTTATAATGCAATTCATTATGGCTATTGAATGATAGGGATACAACGGAACTCAGTTATGGGATACTGCATTTTCTGTTCAAGCAATAGTGGCTTCCAATCTCCCTGTTGAATACGGTTTGGTACTCAAGAAAGCGCACGAATACATAATACAAACTCAGGTAGCTATTTTGAAGTTTGATATTCAGGTACAATCAATGCAAATTGTTCTATGGCAGTAACATTGTTTGTTTTTGTCACGTTGTCACCAAAAGATCAGGGAGAATTATTCGGGAAATCCTAGTTCATGTTACCGCCACGCCTCAAAAGGCGGATGGCCTTTCTCTACTAGGGACAATGGCTGGCCTGTAACTGATTGCACAGCAGAAGGCTTAAAGGTTATGCTTCTGTTCCAGCACTAAACTAAGTCTTTTCTGATGGACTAAATTCTATTTTCTCAAATTTGAGATGCAATGTGACTACTTGAATGGACACCGGTCGAGGAACACAGACTGTAACTTTACATTTTCAGTCTTGTCAAGGAATTTCCTCAGCCTGACAACACTCAACTCATAACATGGGAACTTAAAAAAAAGTAACCGGACAACCTGATTTCCGGATACTTGCAGATTATCACATTGTTATAATGTGACAACATACTTATATTTTGTTCACTTCATCTGCAGACTGTACTGTTACTATCTGGTATGCCATCTGATGTTGTTGGAGAGGCAATGGAATGCGATAAGCTATTCGACACTGTTGATCTGATTCTGTCCTTTCAGGTGAATCTCCACCTGAAGTCAACTTTGATGGAAATTCAAATGAGCCTTTAATTTCAATATTGGTCTGTCTATTTTGTTTACTTAAAAGGCACAGATAAAAAATAGGAAACTTGAACCTAATTTAGTCCATCTCTTGTGACAAGTTAGATAAGGGATAGCGAAAATCTCACAATAAAATGAGCAATATTTACATACGCAGAAGTACAATCCACTTGTGTTTGAAACAAAATAATCCTTTTGAACAACTATCTTGTAATTGTCATTTGGGAATGACTTCTTTGTATATTGCAGAATGAGAATGGGGGTTTTGCTTCATTTGAACCAACAAGATCTTATCCATGGTTGGAGGTATGAATGCTAATACTGCCATTACTTTGCTTCTAAAACGGGCCTTATCAACACAAAAGCTAATTAAATAAAGCTTTATACTCCCATTGTCTTCTTTTATTGCAGATGATTAATCCAGCAGAACTATTTGGAGATATCATGATAGATTACCCGTAAGATCACCCACTACTCATTTGTTGTTTTAATCTAATACGGTGTTTCCAAAATAACAAAACATTACTGAAAAGTGCAATCTGGCTATCTAGTACTCCCTCCGTCCCATAATTATTGTCCAGTTTGAGTTTTCATTTCTAGTTCAAATTGTACTAAAAATGAAATTTCAAACTGGACAATAATTTTGGGACGGAGGGAGTATAGGTTTTTTATTTTTAGGTTTTGTCAAAGGAAGCATTGATGTACATTTGTCTTTGGGATGGAATAGGTATGTGGAATGCACCTCCGCATCAATTCAAGCTCTTGATTATTTCAAGAAGTCATATCCAAGATATCGTAGGAAAGAGATAGATGCATGCATACAGAAAGCGATCAACTTCATCGAAGGAATGCAACTTCCTGATGGCTCTTGGTAATCATTAATTGCTTTCCTTACCAATAAACATTACGAATAGATACAGAGAATGTCCTAAATATTGACATACTAGCAAAAGAAAAGAGACGGTTTTCTATGTATCCTTGTTTGTGCGTGAATTTGGAGGATGGTTTGTTGAAAATTATACAAAAATCAGGTATGGCTGCTGGGGAGTCTGCTACACCTATGGAACTTGGTTCGGCATAGCAGCTTTAGTGCTGGGAGGAAGGACTTATGAGAACTGTCTAGGCATTAGAAAGGCTTGTGATTTCTTGCTGTCCAAACAACTTGAGTCTGGTGGTTGGGGAGAAAGCTACCTTTCTTGCCAAAACAAGGTATCAAATGAACCATTGATCTTCACATTCAGTTGCATGACATCCAAGCATTCTTTTCTGTCCCAATCGTGCTATTCACAATCATTAGCGCAACCTTAATCGTTAATAAGCTTTAGATAAAACATTCTTCCTGTTGAATTCTTGCTCATTTGCGATTTAATTGGACAACTTTTCTCCATAGGTATACACAAATATTGAAGGGAACATGTCGCATAATGTTAATACCGCGTGGGCGATGTTAGCCCTTATTCAAGCAGAACAGGTAAATGAAGAATCACAGAGTTCCATCAAACATCAACCATCACACCCTAAGAGAAGTTTGCATGTTTGAAACTAATGTTTTGTCAATAACTTAGGCCAAAAGAGATCCCATTCCTTTACATCGTGCTGCAAAGGTGCTGATCAATTCTCAAATGGAAAATGGAGACTTTCCCCAACAGGTAACTTATACGGTATTGTAAAAAAACTCTGAATTTGGAAATTTACATATGAAGTATAGTTTTCTCTTTTGTATGCTCCAAAATGTTTGTTTTTTCTACAGGAGATAAGTGGTGTATTCAACAAAAACTGCATGATAAGCTGCTCAGCCTACAAAAGCATTTTCCCCATATGGGCACTTGGAGTTTACCTAAACCAAGTACTGTTGCAGAACCTCTGATTTATTACTCTCGTTCGCATTCATTACAATTGTCAAGTGAAACAATTTTCTTTTCCATAATTTTGATGTAGACCTATACTACTTGGGAGTAACATTTTGTAAAACTATGGGAAGTGTGATTCTCTAAAATTCTTGTATATGTTCGAAAAATTTTTGCCGTGCCAAAAATAAGTGTATTATTTATTGTACTCCCTCTGTCCCAAAATTATTGTCCAGTTTAGGTTTTCACTTTTAGTTCATTTTATACTATAAATGAAAATTCAAACTGGACAATTATTTTGGGACGGAAGGAGTATTGCTTTTGTTTAATAAACATGATTTTTTTTTCTGTTAAGTCGGAATCTTCTATTTGTACATAAACTGATCATGCTGTCTATTTCTTCTGATCCTCCACACATTTATATAGGTAGGATATCAGCTATCAAGGACTTATAATATACATTTTCCGGTCAAGCAAGTATAATTTGTTTTCAAAAGTTAAAAGCACTATTTCCTACAAACCAGATCCGTAGGCTGAAGAACATTTCTCGAGTTTTTGACACAACATATTAGGAATGATAATTACTGCCATAGTTCTAGAGTACATGGGGAAAATGTACATATGTTTGTATGTCACACCACTTGGAATAAATAAAAGCCCAAAATCTGCATGAGCGCCTAATCTGTAGGGAAATACAACAGATTTCTTGACATATAGATTAACTTCAAGGGTATCAGTGAGCCATTGTGCTCATTGCAGTTACTGGGCTCCATAGCCTTAGAATGTCATTAGCAGACAATTGTTTGACTAGGTCCCAGCTGGACCCTGCAACAATATAAGTTCAATTTTAACACAAATATTTTAGAAATAATGCTGTTTAATCTTATATATCCAACCATTATTATTATAAAATGGGTGAATAATTACGTTACTTATGAATTTTTTCACACCCCATAGGATACGAATCTTCTAAACCCGATTTTGAAAGCTTAATTGTATGAATTGGACTCTTAAAATGAAAGCAAGAAAGTAAAATTTGAGTATAAAGAAAAAATTATGTTATAACAGGGAAATATTTGTTAAGATTAAAAGAAACTACCACTAATGTAAGAAATTAATCTAAAAACAGGGTAGAAAATGTTGGGACACAAAGAATCCCACATCGACGTTGTGAAGGATCTGTCAATTGTTTATAAGTGTCAAAAGCTACCCCACTCATTGCCAATTGGTTTTGAGATAGGAGCCCAAGGTGACTTTGACATGGTATCAGAGCCCACGATCTGTGGACCTGTGATAACTATGGACCCGCACATGCGGGCTTGGACCCGTGTGTTGTGGACTTGCCTCAATCGCTTCCGTGCACACGGGTGGACTTGTGTACTGGTCCGGCAGTATATCCGGAATTGTGGATTGACCCAACAGTATATCTGGTGAATTATGTTGTGTTGTGCAACCTCAATGGGCCAAATACCCCATTGGGCTTGAGGGAGGGTGTTGGGACAAAAAGAATCCCACATCGGTGTCCAAATACCCAATTGGGCTTGAGGGAGGGTGTTGGGACAAAAAGAATCCCACATCGGTGTCGTGAAGGATCTGTCACCTGTTTATAAGTGCCAAAGGCTACCCCACTCATTGTCACCTGTTTATAAGTGCCAAAGGCCACCATACTCATTGCCAATTGGTAAGTGCCAAAGGCTACCCCACTCATTGTCACCTGTTTATAAGTGCCACCTGTTTATAAGTGCCAAAGGCTACCCGATTCATTGTCACCTGTTTATAAGTGCCAAAGGCCACCATACTCATTGCCAATTGGTAAGTGCCAAAGGCTACCCCACTCATTGTCACCTGTTTATAAGTTCCAAAGGCCACCCCACTCATTGCCAATTGGTTTTGAGATGGGAGCCCAAGGTGACTTTGACAGAAAACACAAAAAAAAAAAAACCATGATACAATTTCGAATGAAAACGAGTACCATGTGGACATGAAAACAAATATCGGGAACAATAAAGGTCATCCCACTCATTGCCAATTGGTTTTGAGATGGGAGCCCAAGGTGACTTTGACAGAAAACACCAAAAAAAAAAAAAACCATGATACAATTTCGAATGAAAACGAGTACCGTGTGGACATGAAAACAAACATCGGGAACAATAACTTGATTACTCTTATTGAGGCATTTGATTCTGTTTAGTATCAGGTTGAGCTTAAAAATAAAGAGTACTGAAATAAGGGTGAGAAAAGAAGATTTATAGAAAGAAATTGCAGATGCAGGTACAAAATTGTAGATGAGATAATAAAGGAGAAGACAATTTGCTTGGTGGACTTAGTTTCTCTTCTTTTTCTTTTTTTCTTTTTTTTTTATTTTACTTTTAAAGGGGGAGACTGGGTGTTTTTTTTGAGTATAATCGATGATACTCAACTTGATGATCCTCTAGCTTATTGGCCATGTTTAACGCTACATAATATTGTTGACCAGTAGGAACTCATGCATACTTTTATATTTTTGACGTTTCATAGTATTAGGTCGCTATGAATTCATCCCTCCTTAATGATAATTAGCAAATACTATTTGGAACATGGAGTAACCTTAAAACTCTTAACCAAATTTCTCATTTATTGAGTTGATCATAAGTATTCGACTAAGAGATTAGTCTAGTCAGTGTAGCAGATGACACTGGAGAGATAAAAATCAGGATGAGGATGTAACATTTCGAAAGATTTCTAGATGAAATAATGATGGAATCCATAGTTATGGGTCATTTTTTAATTCAAGGATTTGTCCACGTTAGGATATCAAAACAATTATTGTTTGAAAAAACATATGCACATCATAGTTTTAGCGAGACCAAAAAATTACCAACTCACAACTTATTCAGAAATTACTCATTTACACTTTGTTTTGGACAATTTTGCCCTTAAACTCTTTCTTTTTCTCCAACATACACTAATTACATTAATTATAAATAAATTTAACTAAATTAATTGAACAATAACACAAAATATAAAACTAAAGTAATCATACAAAAAAATAATGATAACAAAAAAAATAATATAAAATAACACAAAAAGTTAGAAAAAAAAAAGAAAAGAAAAGGGAAGGGTGGCCGGCCCGAGTATATGATAAATATATTTTGAGTAGGTTTTTGTAATTAAGGAAGAGTTCATGAGCAAAATTGTCCAAAATGAACTGTAAGTAAGTAATTTGTGAACTGCGAAAAACAATTCAGATTGAGTAAATTAAACTAAAATCTTTCCAACTAAATTCGGAACTCATCTTTCTGGGGAACGATACATAGTGAACACCAAAGTTGAGATCTCTAATACCCATAGAAGAGAGATTTAAGATACTAACAATGCGCACCTAATGTTTTTGGGCTCAACTTTGAAAAATAACTTTGCTACAAACCAAAACTAATAATCATAATCACTGTTTACAAATTCATAAAACAAACTGATTTCTAAACTAAAATCTGAACACTAACCTAACTTTCTCACGACTTAGCTAGTTGAAGAATTCACTCTTTATAATGTCATAAAACATTTTTCCACAAAAGAAGGTAGAAATCTTTTCCAATCAACTCTTGAATCAGCTCTTGAACCAAAACATGACCTGAAAGCTTCAAGCATTGCCCAATTGCACAACTTGTGGCGAATGATTTCTTTCGGTTTCTTTCTCTGTCCACTCCTTGACTCCAACAATACTCATACCAATCACAAATACAAAGAACACGAGAGGCATATGAACACCGAAATAGTCGCCAGCCAAATGGCATGCCACTTCAAGAACAAAGTCATGCCAAAGATAAAAGGTTTCTGGGCTTGACGTGAGTCTCCCCATGCAAACAAGGACTGCAGGTTAAAAATAAAAACTAGATTTTAATTCTTAAATTTGGACAAGCAATTTTTGAGATGGTGTTTCCTTGTTTTTGGATCCTTTATCAATCATTAGGTTTAGACATTGCTTCGGTGCTTCTTAATCCTTTAAAATACCCCTTATTTTGAATTTCCTTCTATCCAAGAATCTTAGTAAAAATGGATTCCCGTGCGATACACTTTAGATCGAAAATTTTTGATTAATTCCAACCAATTGTCCTTTTTGCTAGAAGATTTGCTCGAATCAGATCCTTTCGATTTTTATATCATCAACCAATAAACCCGAGACTTCGGACCCTGCTTGGACGAAATGGAATATATTGTCGATAAATAGAAGTACATCTTGTTCATTAACATCTCGAAAATATTCGGCCATAGTTAGGGTAGTCAAACTAACTCTCATACGAGCTTCTGGCGGTTCGTTCATCTGTAAAGGAGGTCCTGCAGAAAAATAGCTCGACGCCAGGATGATAAAAAGCTTAAGATCTCCTTGTTGATTTGACCCATAAGTGGAACCAAGCGGGTTGCTGCCAAAAGCAGAACCTCGTATTTCTTCTAGAGAATCATCTAATTGTTCTAGAGAAACTAGAAAGAGATTCTTGAATCAGAAAGAATTTGGTTCAGATGTAGGATACCTATCCAGAAGTTTTCGCAACTCAGTCGTGGATGATGGAATCATCAAAGATTGACCTTTTCGAACTCTGTCTGTAACTCACTAAAGACCCGGGAAACAAAGAGAAGATGTGTACGAATGAGATATCCAACAAAAAGAAGAAGGAAAAGGGTTGAATAGAGGAACTCCCACTCGGGCCTGGTCACTCCACCCCCTTTGTGAGGAGGCACCCCTTCTCCCGAAGTTTACGGGCCCCTTGTTCCTCCCCCTCTTCAAACTCCGATTCATATTTTTCATAGAGAAATCTCTGATCAAGGGTAGAACAAGATCCGCTCAGCATCATATCTAAGGTATTCCTCGGTTCGGGCCGAAGAAGCAATGTCATTCGTCAGTGCTTCTTCTATGGGAAAACACGTCATGACCCGTGGGCCTTCTACCTCTATGCGGCATAATTGTAACCATATACGTATAAAATAAGCAATGGAATACCAATCCTGGGGCTAAAGGTGGTTCTATTTTGTCAGATATTTTTTA